TTTTTTATTAATTTATGCAATAATTGTAATTTTTTATGACTTGTGACCACACTGATTCTTTCCTCGGTAATGTATTTCACACCAGACAAAAAATTATGTTTATAATACGATATTTACGTAATGCACCGTTTTGTTTTATTTCATGAATTGTCGGTGGGTTAGGTGTTCACCGAAGTCTCTACTTGGTCAAATTCGGACATTTGTTTTGAAATTTAATAGAATAAAAAAAAAACTCTCAGAGTCGTGTTTTACCAGTGGAAAAAAGTTCAACACGCAACCAAAAACATCATACTCCAGTTTCTCAACTTTTCAGCTAAATTTGAGCAAATTAAGATAAAGAAGAAAATAAAAATTATTAGAAATTTTATTTTTTTAAAATGAAAAAACACAATAAAATATAAAGTAAATATTTAAAGGTTATGAAAGGGGAGCAAGCAAAAGGTACAAGATGAATTTGACTTTAATGTTAGTCCAGATTAAATGTTGATGTAATGATTGGTCAGATGATTCCATGTTTCTTAATTTTCTCTTTGATTCTCTTTTATGTTGTCGTTATTATGAACTTGGTTATTCGTATTCCATTTCCATGTTCCTTGTTGTTGCAAGGACACCATGGCATAAAGTCGCTGTGCCCTGTTTCACAGACTGAAGAAAAGCGACTCAACCGTTGTTAAAGGACACTGTGTCATTTTCATAAATTACACTAATGAAATCATACTTTTCTGTTTTTTAATATTCATGTATATATCTTTTGCATGTAATATTTTCAAATAAATAAAATAATCGTTTACTGAGAAAAAAAAACATCTGAATTATATTCTTTAAACAGTTCAGACACTAATGTATGAAAATATATAAATGTGATGAATGGATATATATTGTAGACGTAAATAGTAATTAAATTTGTTTAAAAAAACATGATTAACATGATATTAGAGTTTAATACAATATTAGTTTTTAGTAAAATATAGTGAAAATAATTGGTAAAGTGAATGGAATGAGAAGGTGACAGTTGGCTATTGAAGACAGGTGGCTCGTTCACGTTCTCAGCTTTGAAGTCAATCACCATATGTTACGTTTTCGCATTTGTTATAAAGTTTCAAATTAAATTTTTCACCAATTAATACAAAAATATGAAATTTTATCGGAGTTGTTTTTAATATTATTAGCGAATTTTGAATATTTTGAAACATATTGTGAGTTTCAAAACTTTTGAAAAGTACTATCACTTTAATTTTGTAAGTTATCAAGTATTTCAAAACTTATGTAAAAAATCATAATTTTGAATTAGTTTTTATATTCGCATTTCATTTGAACATTGATTTTCTTAGTTCAAAATTATTTATTTATCTTCTTAAACGATTAAGACAAATAAATAAGTATAATTATATTTAAATAAATGTATACTCTCTAGAAGCATTAAATAACACTGTATTATCCATACCCGTGCATTTCTTCTAATTTCTAGATCAAAAACAGGGACGTGAGTGTCATTAATAAGTTTACACCATTCATCTGATATTTATTTTACATTTAATTTCAAATTTTTTTATATTTATTTTAAAATTGTAACTTTTGTTATTTTATTTTTAAAAGACAACTTTCAAGTTTAAAGGAAAAAAAGTTTAATTTAAATATCTCAGTGTTGAATCATGACAATTTAAATATTTTTCTATTAAAAATAAAACCTTAGCAGAAATTTCAGAATTTTAAAAGAACAACATTTTAGATAATAATAATAATAATAACTGAACTAACGTTATTATTTCAATAAATTTGTCTACCGTAAAGATATTTTAAATTTAGAAACTAATTTTTTATTTATTTAAGGATGAATTGGGGGACCAATAAAATATTTTTTATTAATAATTTTAAATCGAGTTTATAGGTACTGAAAAATAAAATAAAATAAATACCGGGTCCATATAAGCTTTTTATGACCCGAACATTCTCATAGTGGGTAGGTAGTTTCAGTGATCCAAAAGAATCGGTGATGAGAAATTAATTCGGTCGAGCTACCTCGGTTGAATCCATGGGAATAAAACCGTAATTAACTACCAACGGATTTGGGCGGTGAGAAGACATCGTTTTCTTATTTCTTAGGTTGAAACCGTGTTTACTCAGCCAAACCAACACGACGTCGTTTCTCTCAATTCGATTTCGTTTCATGGGTCCATTCCTCATACCTTTTTCTTAACAACACTATCCTTCTACGTATCCATTCAAAACCTCTAAAATCAAACCAAAATTCGCTTTCAATCCATCTTATCTACAATTTTTTTTTCTATTGCATCTATTATTTAAAAAAATATACCAAAATTATTAAACTTATTATATAATCAAATCAAATCAAATCATCAATAACTTTTATTAAATTAAATTTTCTTTCGAAGACTTTTTGGTCATATTTATCCATTTGAAATTTAGTTGTATCGAGAAGAAGATTTGAGAAACACCACGCGTGAATACTTCCACCCACTAAATTAATTTGTTAATAGATAAAATACACACCAAAGTAAAGTGATTGAGATAAGACTTTGAAATTTGGATAATGGAACTATATACTTTTTGAATAATCCAGAAACATTGTACCAAGATACGAAACATAAAATAAATTTAATAAATACTTATATACTCTCTCTGATAAGTTCTAGTTAGGTTGGAGTTAGGATTCTTATCCTTATCAATTCCATAGAATATTTTCAGAAAAACATAATATCGAGACAATTTTGTCGTTTTTTTTTATTGGATGATTACGATTTTTATAATATATAAATACATAATTAGGTCGGTACATAAACATGTCATATCTTATTTTACAGAATAAATACTGTAATTTTAATATATTTCTTAAAAAATGTTAAATTCATTATGGTTGAATTTGTAACTATAGATGCTGATGGTTGACATAACATTTTTCTTTTTTATTCGATGATTTCGATTTTTATAATATACAAATATATAATTAGGTCGGTCCATAAACATGCAATCTCTTATTTTACAAAATAAATAATATATTTTAATATATTTCTTAGAAAATGTTAAATTTATTATAACTGAATTTATAGTTATAGATGTTGATGGCTGATACGGAATTTTTATGTATAATTAAAGATTAAATATGTTTTTATTTATTAATTTGTAAATGAAAATTGTATATGGTCTTTTTAAAATTTTAGTTTAATTTAATTTTCTAATTTTAAAATTATGTGAAATTAATGTTTTTGTTTTAATTTTGTTAACTTTATTTTAAACGCGTTTTATGATGATACGTAAATTGTTTACAATATATTATTAATTAAAAAATGTGTTTAAAATGTTAAATAAATTTAAAAAAGATAATCAAAATATTAAATCACAGTTTTAAAGATAGACAGTTAAATTAATTTAAAAATTCAAAAAAAATTATAATTTTTAATAAAAATTAAAGAATTAAATATATATTTAATCTTAGAATTAAAGATAAATAATGTATTAGGTAATACATGTCACGTATAGAATACGTGGGTGTCAAATACATTATCATAGAGCATTTACAATTAGGTTTCGAATGTTATTAATTACATTTTTCCAATTGTTTAATTCTATTCTCAACATACGTGTACCTGTAATATGAAGTTTACGGCACATCATATTTACTAATAAATTTATTGTCATTCCTTCTCGAAGTTCTATTCATCAAAATGTAGAATGATATTAAAGCTCTTACTAGCATATATTAATTATGTGCGGTAAATTCGTGAATAGAAAGAAAAAAAATTCAAAACATATGTAATCAATATTTTCATGCAAAAAATAAAGTAATTAAAATTAAAATAAATAATTAAAAATATTACTATAAAAATAACGTGAAATTATTAATGTTTGTTTTAGTATTTGTGTTTTAAGAAATAGATTTTGGTGTTTTCCTTAATCAAATTTAATCTTTTGGTGGTTTAAGAAACAAATATTTTACTCATTCAAATGACGAAGAAAAACATAAACTGTTGTTATCATAATATTACAAATTCTCTCGTACAAGATGTAATTAAATAATTGAAAATTTATTGTAATTATCGACAAAGTTAACTTTATTGATTGATCTCGTTGAAGATTTTGATAACGTACATTGTTTTATTGTTGAAAGAGGACGTTATAAAAAACAACAATTTTATGATGTGTTTGATTATTTTATATGCTATCATATAAATATTTTAAATATGAATAATATTTTGTAATTTTTTTCTCCAAAATGTTACTCTATTTATATTCGTTGAAGAAAAAGTATGATAAATTTGGTCAAGTTTAACATTTATAAAATTTTATGCTATATATGTGTGTGAACTGCAAAAAAAAAGTTTAGAGAATTGTCAAAGAATATAATTAAACATTATCTAATGAAATAAATTTATCATGACTAATTAAATATTTAATTTATCTAATTAAATATTATCTAATTAAATATTACAAGTTTACATAAGTAACGAATGATTATTCATTTTTGTTTTTCATTTCTGTAATATTTTCTCAGGAATCGATTTTTATTAAATGTTTTTTTCCTTTTATATATTTATTTTCTAAGACATTGTCATCCGATGTCGTTGATTGGTTGTTTTTTTTGAAGTGAAACATCTTTTAATTGGCTACAATTAAAACTTTATAACCGAATAGCGGTTAATTTTCGAAGTCAGTTATGCAATGTGTCGAAAGAAACCGAACATCTAATTTTCTACGAACATTACACATGAAAGAGTCGGTATATCGTGTGCGAATGACACCTATAATGGTTAATTCGCGATTAATTAAGAAATATTAACCAAACCGAATAAATAATTAGGGTAAAATTAGGATAAAAAAAATAATTTTTATTTGATTAAATAAGATTTAATGTATTAGTTTTAAGAAAACAATGATTAAAACGGAAATAGTTGTGAAAGAGAAAAGAAAGCAATGATTAATGGAAACGGCCACACTGGAAATCCACGTGGCTGATCTGTTGTTCCCTCCATAAATATTCGCATAATAGGCATTGCAATTCCAATTTCATAGAAGTTGCAAAGCAAACACAACACAGCACATAGCTTTCAGAACTTGTCACGCAATTCTCGCCGTCGACGAACATGGCATCGCGAGTCAGCATTGGCAACCTCACCGCCACCAAGCCACCGTATGCTATTAATTCTCCTCGTTTTTGTTCACCGCATAAATCTTCTAACGCTCTTTCTCACCAAAACGCTGCGCAACACAACGACGTCATGCTCCAAAGAACCGTGCTCGTAACCGGTGGAGCCGGATACATCGGAAGCCACACCGTTCTTCAACTACTCCTCGGAGGTTTCGCAACCGTCGTCGTCGACAACCTTGACAATTCCTCCGAGGTTGCCATCCGAAGAGTCCGGGAACTCGCAGGCGAGTTTGGGAATAACCTATCCTTCCACAAGGTATGCATTCTGTTGCCTCTTTCATTCACTTTCGATTGTTTCCGTCGCTTTATCATAATCCGAGACTGTTTTGCTTCGTGGCTTGGGTTTTTGGGATTCAGAATTTCGTCGATTTAGGTTTAGATTTGTGAAATTTTTGGGATTGCGGTGGGCCTGTTTTGGGCCTAGACGGTGTCTGGTTGATTGAGTTTTTGCTTGTTTAAGCGTGATTGGATTTGGCGCTATGTCGGTTTCGAAAGCAGCTGAAGAGTTCGTGATGTACTTTTTTTTATATGATGTGATTTTTGGGAACTACTGGTTTATTTTTGTTGTTGGGCCCTGAGGGATGTTGTTCTAGACTGTTCTTGTGGTTTCGGTGATTATGTCTATTAAGTTTTACAAAATCTGTGTTTTTCACAAATATTATGGCAAAGGAAACCAGAGGGGCCATGCACTTTACTTGCTAAATTTTACAGCTTGTTGATTATTTAGTTTATTATGGCGATGATTGATGACCGACGCTTTTTGTTGTATTTTCGCTGCTGCAGGTGGACCTACGGGACAGAGAGGCTCTAGAGCAAATTTTTGTTTCTACACAGTAAGTATTATGGCAGAAGCTTCTTTCTTTCTTTTTTATGCTATGTAGAGTATGACAGAAGTTTCTTTTAATAATAATAATAAAAAGATTCATCTGTCGGTGCTTCATGCTCTCTTCGGGACATCGTTGATCTATGAACCTTTTCTAATTACTTTTTTTTTGTAGGTTTGATGCTGTCATACATTTTGCTGGACTGAAAGCAGTGGGAGAAAGTGTGCAAAAACCTTTACTATATTACAACAACAACTTGACTGGGACAATCACTCTATTGGAAGTCATGGCTGCCCATGGATGCAAAAAGGTAAAATCCTTCTTGTTTTCTAGTCATGCATCCATGATAAACCTTAACTGCAGTAAAAAAGTATCCTTAATATTCTCAAGTTTCTTCTACGAATCCGGTCATATTTTTTGCTTTTTTGAATAGAGTTCTCACTGTTGACAGATACAACACGTGTATATCTAATTAAATTGACGCAAAACTATTTGCATATTATTTAAATTGATTCAAGGTACTTCTAGCCTCACTTGTGATGAGATGTCCAAGAAGGTTGGGAAGGTTGAATCGTTATGGGTGAATCAAAAGATTAGACTAATAGACAAAGAATCTTGGGGGTGGAATGGAAGTGTTCAAAGTAAATGACCACAAAAGTAAAACAGGATAATTACACAAAAGAAGATTAATATAAAAGGTTAAGGATGACGGAAAACCTGTTAATGTGGTTTGGATATGAGAAAAGAAGCTTACACGAAGCACCGATGACGAGAGTAAATTGTTTACCCTTGTAAAAAGTGATAAAGGGAGAGTGAGAGATCAAGGACATTGGAGAAAATTATTAAAAAAGATTTAATGGTTGAATACTATCCCTGAAAATTAGGTTTTGAATTGAGGTCAGTGGCTACAGGTGTAGTCAACCTCGCCGAATGGTTGTTGTCAGTGAAGTTGTTGACAGAAATAGCCATGAAGGGATTTTTTATATTATTTTTGACAAAAATACTCATGCGGCTCTAGCTGTTATTGCTTTTGCCGCTGTAGTTTATGTTGTTTTTCTAGAATGTTTAAACTTATCATTATAATTTTGTCGTCATGTTTTTTTAGTTGGGTTACTGGGGAGGAATTAAGCCTGCAGGCTACCATTGTATTTTACACATTTGAAGTGTCATGCGAAGTTTATTATGCATTTTATTGCGTTGTGCTGTGTTCTTCTTGTTCCACTCATTTTCTATCTCTTCAAATGGTTTCAGCTTGTGTTCTCGTCTTCAGCAACTGTATATGGTTGGCCAAAGGAGGTTCCGTGTACAGAAGAGTTCCCTCTGTCAGCGATGAATCCATATGGCCGAACTAAGGTATGGCTAGGAGTGTTTGTTGGAAGGTGAAATTTGGTTTTGATTTGAATTGTGTGTTCACCATCTGATTTTGGGGACTTGTACAAAATATCATTTATTACTTTCTCCTATTATTTTCATGTAAGAGCAATCCCCTATCCTCCGAATTCCCTTTATTCCGCTTGTCTGGATCTTTAAATTTTTTCCCCTTTATTAGAAAAGAAAAACTTGAATTTTATAGACATGCTTTTCCAGGTGTCTTCCACTGGTATCTGATAAGATGTTTGTCTTTCAGCTTATTATTGAAGAAATTTGTCGGGATGTCCACCAAGCGGAGCCAGATTGGAAAATAATATTGTTAAGGTATTTCAACCCAGTTGGTGCACACCCTAGTGGTTATATTGGGGAGGATCCTCGTGGAATTCCAAACAATCTCATGCCATTTGTTCAGCAAGTAGCAGTTGGCAGGCGACCTGCGCTGACAGTTTTTGGAAATGATTATAATACAGTTGATGGCACTGGGGTAAGCTCTAACTTTTCCTATGAAAATTTTCCTTGGAAAGAGAAAATTGCATGAAGTTTCATTCAATCTTATCCTGTCCTCTGTTTCCCCTGATTATTTATTTTTTTGTTCTTTATATGGTCACACTTCATGTGCAATTTACATAATTCTTCCCATCTTCTCTTTTGAATTCCCCTGATAAAATTTATGCTGAAGTAAACCACTTTTCCTCGCTGAATAGTTTCTGTGGGGTGCTTACATTTATTTCCCTCTTTTAGAGATCTAATATTAATTGCTTCACAAAGGATCTCATGGGATGGTTCTTTTCATTTCTCCCAGGTTCGGGATTATATTCATGTTGTTGATTTAGCAGATGGGCACATTGCCGCATTACTTAAACTAGACGAACCTAATATAGGTATTATTCCAAAATTTTATTTATCTTCCAATATCTAACTCTGTCAGCTCCGGTCAATTCTCAAGCAGTGACAACGTGAAAAATTTATGGTGGTAAAATTTTAGTTTAATTTTCATGGTGTGTTTACAGGTTGTGAGGTTTATAACCTGGGAACAGGAAAGGGAACATCGGTTTTGGAGATGGTTAGGGCTTTTGAAGCTGCATCTGGAAAGGTAATAGAATCATGTTTATTTTTCTGGTCTTTTATCTGTATCTATCTACACAATCTCTGCTGTTAGTTTTAATGTCATACGTTAAAAGCATTTTGTATCTCACGTTCCGTTTTTCTCCTTTGCTCAGAAATCTATTCGTTTTGCAGTTTGGTGCTAGCATGTTTGGGCCCTAGGATAAACTTTTTGACTTGAAAGTGATCTAAAATTATTACTCTATCTTAAGTTGTGGATAAGTTGCTTTCGGAATTTCAATCAGTTAATCTCAGTGTCCACATTTGCTATATGGCGTAATATAGACAACAAATGTCATAAAATTCAAATACTTCTCCTCTAAAGATCATTTGTTTCCATTTCATATTTAGTTTACATTCCTATAACCTAAAACATCTTGAACTATGTCATTTTTATATGGCTTTAGCTATTCTCCGGTGTTTGTATATAACTAATCCTTACAATTTATTCAATTGTTCAGAAAATTCCTCTTGTGATGGCTGGCCGTAGACCTGGTGATGCTGAAATTGTTTATGCATCCACTAAAAAAGCGGAAAGAGAGTTTAAATGGAAGTAAGTTTTAATGGGCTTTCTAATTTAATGCTGATAACATTTAACTGATCTTTTAGGCTTTGCTTTCTAATTTTTTCCTGGACATGATATTGCTGATAGTCGCCCCCTCATCCTCTTCCTGAGTATCTTGGCTAAATAATATATGCACAATAATAAATTCCGGGAGAGGCTTTGTGTAATATGAACTTGCATACGTTTTACTAACAAAAATGTTTATGCGCTTCTTTCTTTCCTAATATTTTTTTTGGTACTGAATTATTTGTCTTATATGACAGGGCAAAATATGGCATTGATGAGATGTGCCGAGATCAATGGAATTGGGCTAGCAAAAACCCTTACGGCTATGAAGATCAGGAGGACTCCACAGATTAACTACACAGTATTCTGAACTCTCCCCCACCGTAGTCCATAGGTCTTGCATTATCATGATTTATAGTTACATGGTAAATAAGTAGTGATTTACTATACTGTAATCTAAAAGTTCTTTAGGTTATTGATCATTAGATTCAGGTTCTCTCATTTTCACCTCCTGTTCTGTAAATCTAATATCTTATGTTTGTTTAAAGTGTGACTAACAATGTATTCTTACCTCATTATTTACTACCTTTACCAATAAAATAGCATTATATCAAAATTTGAGTTATTTTGTGGGTTACCTCTAACACGTGATTTTGTGCACTCAGACAAATCATCGGATAGTCCTAATATAAGATTATTGAGTGCATTGTAACAGGGATATATAAAACAAGAACAAGACAGCATATCTAAAATATGAAAAAAGAAAAAATACACGTAGTGAAGTCTTCAATTGATGAAAATATAATAATGTGCATGACAGTATCTATATTTCTGAACAAATCAACTTTTGACTAATCTCTCAAACATCCTTCACAGTTCTATTGTTAAATTCATCATTGGTATTCCCATGGCTGGTTTTTATGTATGTGTATATCTACCTTTTTTATATAAATATTGTATGCCAACCATAATTCATGCATTTTTTTTTGACAAATAATATAGAAAACTTGTATTAGCCTACAAAACAACAAAAGAACATATCATAAAAATACCTTCCCATTGAAAAGGAAAACTTGTATCTCCTGGATCTGGTTCGTGCTCAACCACTGTTCTCGTTGCAAAAGTAACCAGAAAAACTATGTGAGGAGAAATATATGAACGAATTATTGAGATCCCAGAAAGTATCAATTTGCAGACATCGATAGTACAATGCTAATAAAACCAAATTTGGAACACATGCATTCTACAACAATCTATTCTCTCGGCGTAATGTTAGCCTGAACTCTCTCTCGACCAATCATTTACTATTTTTCTCTCTCTTCAGTTATAGAATTATCTCAGATAAATAAAATGAAAAGTAAAATCCAATGGATAGTAAAAGTACATTCTGAATCGTAGAAGTTGTAGTTTGCAGACAGAAATCAACATTTAGAAATATTTATAATTGAATAACACCCAATAAATATAACTATTGTTAGTGTCACCATTCTCTCTCCCTATTGTTAAAGTATTTTAAGATGTGATTCTATTTTTGAATAGTTTATAATTCTTTTAATTCTGTATGAATTTCAAGGCATATAAATGCCTTTGTTTGTACCTTTTATGTTTTATTACAATAAATCATCTGTTATCATTCTAGAATTACATTTTGTTTTGTTTAAATCGTTTTGAATATATTTTTTTTTTAATTTGGAGAAATTCTCCTGATAAGATGTAAATTAGACAGAGAAAACTTATTATTTCAGAACAACTTCGAGTTAAAACTTCAGAACAGAGAAAAGATAAGAGAAAAACATAATTAGAAAAACAAACGTATAATATAAAAAAATATGAACCATTACCATAAACAAATATATATTTAATTTTCTCCTCAATTAATTTTCAAGACAAATAATGAAAATAATATTACGTCCAGGTTTAAAAAAAAAGTTTCGGAAAATTAATCCGTTATAAAATATGAATGTAAGACAAAACTGCAATTGACCACACTCTTGTAGCTCCAACGGTGCACTTTCCCTCAACCAAAGGAACCCCACTACCACACGTCACTACAGTTTAAAATGGCCAATTCAAATTTACATTTGAAAGTGGGAGGACACAAATCACCACAATATTAAAAATATAAAAAACCCAAACAAATAAAAGAAAAAAACAATAATACCAATATTTTAGTGGTTAAGATAAAAAGTCCTAAACAAATATGGTAGATGGTTTTTCAACACATTCACAACTCATTTTCAAGATAATATAAGCATTAAAAAAGTAAATTTTGTATTTATAAAAGAAAAAAAGAAAGCGATTAAAAGTTATAATAAAAAATATAAAAATTTTTTAGATATAAAAATATTATGGTCAATACAATAAATAAGGCTACTCACTAATAAATACTCCATTTGACATTACTTACACATTAATTTAGAAAAAAATATCTAAATGCTCTATTTAACATTACTTACACATCAAGTTAGAAAAAATATCTATTAATTAATCAGTTAATCAGCATTTATCAAAGAATGTTCCAACGGTAAACAATATCTAACGGCAAAGGACTAACTCACGATTTAAAGACTTGAGTCAAGTAGGCTCCTTCTTACAAGACACACACACTCTCTCTCTCTCTCTCTCTCTCTGAAATTGAAAGAAAAACGCTGAAGGCAGAAAGCAAGCAACACTGCAATAATCGGTGAATGGATAACCTAATTTCTTTGGTGAACAAAATCCAGAGGGCTTGCACCGCTTTAGGCGATCATGGCGAAGCAAGTGCGTTGCCGACTCTCTGGGACTCTCTCCCCGCCATAGCCGTCGTCGGTGGCCAGGTTTTTAAACGACAAATTCAATTCAATTTATTATATTTCTCGGCTAGTAATGCCTTTTATTTTGACTTCGTTTTCACCTTTTGTCTTTCTTTCAGAGCTCTGGAAAGTCTTCAGTGCTTGAAAGTGTTGTTGGCAAGGATTTCTTACCTCGTGGATCGGGTAATTATGCCAAAGCAAATTACATTCTTCAACTGAACTCTACTTTTATCTTGTGTTGGCAAATTCATGTGATGTGGCATGCAACACACGTGCAGGAATTGTTACCCGGCGACCCCTTGTTTTGCAGCTTCACAAGATTGAGGAGGGTGGCAGAGAGTATGCTGAATTTCTTCACCTTCCAAGGAAGAGGTTCACCGATTTCGGTACTACTTAACTATGTCCTGTTTTTTTTTTTTTTTTTAATTTCTTTGTCATTGCTCATCACTTGCTATCTTTGGTGAGTTGGTGTCTTTTTTTTTCTTGTTTTTTTTTTAAATTTCTCGATGATTATGGCATTTATGATTAATATTCGTTTATGCAGCTGCTGTGAGAAAGGAAATTCAAGATGAAACCGATAGGGAGACTGGACGAACAAAACAGATTTCAAGTGTCCCCATTCATCTTAGTATATATTCTCCCAATGGTATGTTTGAATTTCTGTTTTCTTCATTATCTTCTTGTTGCACTCCACGTGCTTTCTTTGATCTAAATTTTTAACTTACTATGATCCCTTGGACGTGCAGTTGTTAACTTGACACTCATTGATCTTCCTGGCCTTACAAAGGTAGCTGTAGGTAAGCAAAATTAGACGTGTCTTTTTTGTCCTTACCCTGTGGGAATCAGTGAATGGTCAGATTTTTATTTTGGACATTGGAGAGTGACATGCTAACAATTTTTTTTTTCAAAATACAGAGGGTCAACCAGATAGCATTGTCCAAGATATTGAGAATATGGTTCGCTCCTACATTGAGAAGGTAGTGTCCTTTCTGTAACAGGACTCTGCTGGAACAAAATTTGCAAGACAACATATTACATTAGCTTTCCTGCCACAACTTGTATGATATTGCTTTTCTAGAAAATTGATTTTGTTTAGTTTGTCTATTGCCCAAAAGCTAGCCACATTTTAGTTAAAAAGATTTATCAATGCAAGGAACATACTTAAAAAAAATTGTACATTTTTAAAAATGTGGTATATTGAATTTGATCTTAATCTGCAGCCAAACTGTATAATTTTGGCAATTACACCAGCCAATCAAGATCTTGCAACATCGGATGCAATTAAAATATCCCGTGAAGTGGATCCCACTGGTAATTCAGTCATTCTATTTTCTGTATTCTTGATTACTATTTGTTTTGCAATTTAGTGAAGGTCATTGGTTCCCCAGACTCAATGAGTTAGAAAATGCACATTCTTACGGATGACCAATTCAATTGTTTTGAACAGCTTGAAGCAAATAGTCTATAGATGTTCTAATTCTATCGTTGTTGATTTAATTTTAAGGAGAAAGAACATTCGGAGTCTTGACAAAGATTGATCTTATGGACAAGGGTACTGATGCTGTTGATGTAAGTAAATCATTTTTAGTTATAAAAATTCCAAGTATCTTATTTATTATAGATAAGGAAGGCAGATAGAGTTTATACCGCTAAAGATTTTTGTTGTGTTTTAAGACATTTTTTCTGCTTGAGAGTTAAGCTTACTTCAATTATCTTATTTCTAATTCATGACATGGACATGAGGAACGGGCACCTATTTCACTTTCGCAAGTGGAACACTTGGCTACGTGACTTTGTACTTATCTTTATTATGTATATTTCTTCTTCAGATGTTGGAAGGGAGAGCTTATCGATTAAAATATCCCTGGGTTGGTGTTGTCAATAGATCGCAAGCGGATATTAACAAGAACGTTGACATGATTGCTGCTAGACGTAGAGAACGTGAATATTTTTCTAGTACCCCTGAATATAAGCACCTTGCTCACAGAATGGGTTCTGAGCATCTAGCAAAGATGCTTTCAAAGGTAAACAATATAACAATTTATCCTTATAGATTAATAACTGGATGAAATATACATTATTTCTTGTTATTTTACATTGGTGTTAATAATACTACTTGGAATATTTTATTTTACTTGCTTCAATGACTAAATCATTATTTTTTTATATCAGCAATTGGAGGCAGTAATCAAGTCCAAAATTCCTGGTATTCAGTCTCTTATTAGTAAAACAATTGCTGAACTAGAAGCTGAACTGAGTCGTCTGGGAAAGCCTATTGCAGCTGATGAAGGGGTAATTGTACTCTTCATAACACAACCAATTTTAAGTTTAAATTTCTGAAAACTCTTGATTATTTTATATGGTCCCTTGTTGAAAAAGGCCTTATATTTTCATCCTAATGTAGCATTCTATATTTGAATTTTCAAATGATTGATCGCAAATCACGTGCAGGGAAAGTTGTATTCAATCATGGAAATATGCCGCTCATTTGATCAAATATTCAAAGAACATCTTGATGGCGTGTATGTATTACCTTTTTGCACACTTATTTATTTTAAAATGATTCACGGCCTTTACCCTTTTGTTTCTTATCCTTGCGTTTCATTCCTTTTCTCAAACTAACAATAATTTGTTAATCCCTTACAGGCGACCTGGAGGTGATAAAATTTATAATGTCTTTGACAATCAGCTGCCTGCTGCTTTAAAAAGGCTGCAGTTTGATAAACAACTTTCAATGGAAAATATAAGAAAACGTATTACAGAGGCTGATGGGTATCAACCTCATCTAATAGCTCCAGAGCAAGGATATCGCCATCTCATTGAATCTTCTCTAACTACTGTCAGGGGTCCAGCTGAGGCATCTGTTGATGCGGTATGCATAAAAGATATGAAAATTATTGTTAGAAAGCACGTTTCAGTGACCCTGTGGCAATTAGTCTTTTTCGTTTTGCAAATGACACAGCAAAATTTACTTAAGTACTACTTTAGTATTGCTACTTAGTATCATTCACAATTATGTGTTCAGTTTTGGTATCCAGCTAGGATATTTCTGAAGCTTCAGGAAATGGTTTTCAAATAATAATAATTTGTCACTTGGTTATCACTCCTCTCTATTAGTTTTTCCCTAAAGCATATTTTTGAGATCTTGTGTGGTAGAAAGGACATGGTGAAAATTGTTCAGGTTGATAAATTGACCTTCTTTCTGATTTAAAGACCTTAGCCTCAATTAAGACCTTATCAAAAGCAGCCTTTATGACAAGGAAATTTACACATTTCTTATTTTTATTCGTCATGTGTTTTTGTCATAGTTAATTTATTTACTTAAGGATACGGTCTCATGAGCCTACTGAAATTTAATCCGGTGATTTTATTTTCTTTACTGATCTCCAATTTTCATATTTAGTAATGTCATTCTGATTTGTGTTTCCAGGTTCATTCCCTATTAAAGGATCTAGTTCACAAAGCTATTAGCGAGACTCTGGTACGTTCCTGATCACCAAAAATTTAGCGTTTCTTTTCTGCTGCTGTGTTTAAGTTCGATTGCTTTGATCCTCCTTGCAGCTAAGGAAATAAAATGTTCATGATGTATGCCTTGCCTGGTTTCTGTCAGTAGATTAAACTTTAACCTCTATATTTGAACTACGTAAAGCTGCTGAAACTAAAGAGATGTCTAGCCGAAAGGCTAACACTTCCATCAAAGACTAATTATTAGCTCCACTTGTCAATGTAATAGGAAATGCTTCTAAGTACATTGTCTGATTTTTTTTTCTAAGAATATAATCCTATTCTAGTTTTACTGTGAGAAGTAACATGTCATCTTTGGTTCTGAAGATTTTTTTGTGTGGGTCTTGTGACTACATAGTATTGGAATTTTCGAAGTAAAAGGAAACAATTGGGCAGTTTGGGTTCAATGATCTGGTTCCTTTCCGTGCAGAATCGGCAAGCAATTATGCAAGTCTAGATTGATGGCCAGATTTTGTAATTTATAATTTCATATTGACAACTTGGAATTTTTTGAATTTCTGTTCTTACACGCTTGGGGCATTAATATCGTTCTTCTCTCCTTTTAATCCTATTTTTTCTGGCATTATGATCCCAGTGCCCTAGCTAAACTTATTAACTCACAGGACTTGAAGCAATATCCTGGTCTACGTGTTGAGGTTGGAAATGCAGCCATCGATTCACTAGAAAAAATGAGGGAGGAAAGCAAAAAAGCAGCACTACAGTTAGTTGATATGGAGTGTGGCTATTTGACGGTTGATTTCTTCCGAAAGATTCCTCAAGATGTTGACAAGGGTGGCAATCCCGCACATTCAATTTTTGATAGATATAACGATTCATATCTTAGGCGAATTGGTAAATTTTACAAAATGCATTTTCGTACTTGGACTGAGATCATATACGATATGCTCTCTCTTGTAGTTTAACATAAACCTGTCCGCTGTCAATAATTGAATTACTAACACGCTCACTGTGAACGTATCAGGAACCAATGTTCTGTCTTATGTCAATATGGTCTGTGCAAGTCTTCGGCATTCAATTCCCAAGTCAATTGTCTATTGTCAAGTGAGGGAGGCCAAACGAGGCCTTCTTGATCACTTCTTCACTGAACTAGGCAAAATTGAAGTGAGAATTAATCTGTGTTCCCTATTTCTGTGTTGTATAATTTGTCATTTTATCTGACATTTTTTTTTATATTTGACTGATTTTCCTTTCCTAATAAATTAAACACTGATAGTCTGCATAAATCTTGTTGGCAGCCGAAGCGTCTGTCCTCATTGCTCAATGAGGATCCTGCAATAATGGAAAGACGAAGTGCCCTTGCAAAGAGGCTTGAGTTATATCGGAGTGCACAAGCTGAGATCGATGCAGTTGCATGGTCTAAGTAGATTTAGATGTGCATGCTACATCGTGTTCTGTGAGATCTCTATATCTATTGCATCGTGATAGATAGCTTCAACATTCTGTTAGGTTTCATTGCCATATTTAATAGGTTGTTAAAAGGAAAAAAGGAAGAGATGATTTCAATGTCTTCTCACGCACTTTGTAGATATTTCATTTATGTAATTCTATTCAACTTTCGTTCTTGTTTTAAAAATAAATCTTGCAAACAACAGTCTTTTTTGTAGATGGGTTTGACGCATTCATTCAAACTATATCGATGATAGGTAGGCAATTAAAATCTTATCTCTCTTAAAAGAATACTTTTTTAAATATCAAAAGGAAAAATTTATGTGTTTTTCTAAGAAAATCAACTTAAATATAAATGTTTATGATAAAATAGTTTTAGCAATTTATGTTCGGCCATGTTCCTGCTTGGCCATGACTGTATTTAGCTGGGTAATCACATTTCTTATGCAATTATTTAACGAATTGCTCAAAATTAAACAAAATTACTTAGCATATCAAAACAAATAATGCTAATAATTCTTTCAATAAACAATATTGATGTGCTAATCTAGGCCAATAGAAAAACATTTCTCACTCAAAATTTAATACAGCTTATCAGATTATACTTTCTTTTAGATATAGATAAATCCATACATAAATTTATATCAACCTAATATTATTTAATGTCTTATTTGTATAAATAAAAATAAAACATAGCTAATATTTTAAGAATATACTAAAATATGAATCATTTGATAATATTATCATTAAATTTTAATACAATTTAATGTAAATAATTAAAATAATATGAAACTATAATTTGTAGTTGAATAACATAATCCTTAGTAATTCAAAATAGAATGCACAAAATGATAGAAATTATTAGTAGAACTGTTATGTAAATCTAGAATAAGTATGGCTTAATTGCCAGAAGTCAACTTTCCAACAGTAGGGTGTGATGGCATTGGTTTGATTTTCCACATCCACCATTGCCCTCCCCTGATTACTGCTCGTATCTCCAATGAAAATGTAAAAATCAAAATTCCTAGAAAAAACCTAAAAGCATCAGAAATTTAATCACTTTACAAAGAACGCAATACTACAACCTGTTGAAGAATAAAAGCGGTCCAAAGAGCACAACTGCATCCATGGTGCTAATTACGGCAAAAATGGCAGTAGTAAAATACAGCCAGGACGACAAAAAGAGTCGGTGGAATTTTTCTTTCCAGATACGATATACCACACCTGTATATCAAATATGCTAACAAAATACAATATATAAACAAAACTAAAAGAAAAGGCAAAATTTAAAACCCATTAACCCATGAGAAGAGTCTCAATGGCTTCGAAGAAAAGTGCTGACATTTCAGGGCTAGGAGACTTGATTGCACATTTGACGCCAGGGTTTCCAATCACTGTGGTAAGTTCAATTAAGAATGGTACACCTCTAGGGAGTTTAGCTGAGAAGTAAAACACGTCCTGGTTAGCATTCTTGCGCTTTGCAATAAAGAACATGTTTGATGCAGCCAGTCGTTCCAGAGTTGCGTCTGCACTGCCAATCACAATGGCTGGGAAGTCCTTGGAAACCTCGTTTGAATCAGGAAGGGACCTCCATGTCTGCAGCACAGTAAACAGTCAGATCCTCCGTTAATAACAAAACTGACTAAGTTAATTAAGGTTTCACAAATTCTGTGTAACATAGATGACTGAACTGACCGAGTCCATGAAACTATGAAATAGAAATTGAAAATTTTACGCATCACAAGAGTTATGAATTGCAAGTCTATTGCAGTTATGTCACAGGATCAAACAAATGGGAGAAAGACATACCTCTAGAAAACTGGAACGTTCCATTCTACCATCCTCGGTAAAGAATACATGTAACGAGAATTTATCATTGAAATACCACACAGGTTGTTGATTGTTTTTTACAGCAACCTGTAAAAGTGAGCTAGGAGGACCTTGCAACATGTTCTGGAATGTAACCATAGGGAGGTGTGTCCTAGCTGACGTTCCAGGTTGCAGCTGTGGAACCTGAACAAAAGGGTAATCTATTAAAACATAGCTTGACAGAGATATTGAAATAAAAGACAAATATGCAAATAACAAACCTGCAGGGGTCCAGCAGCTGCAAGACCAAATGTGTTCTTGTTAAATTGAATCATGAAGCCATCAAGAGTAACCTGACTGTTGTTCTCAAACAACAAACTATAAAATATTTGACCATCTTGTCTAGTCAGCTGTGCACTAATTTGTAACCCCTGACCAGTTGAAGCAGGCAGTAAAATATGTAGTGGAGGCCTGCACCCAAGGCATGATATCTAATTAGGTAAGATTCCACAAACAGAGCTAATGAAAGTCATAAACTTTTCAGGATCTTGATGAATGGTTGAACTCATGTTGAATATAACAAATTTTTAATGTTTATTATATCAGAAAAACATAGTTTATCATTAATCACAATTTCTTTACGAAAAGTGACATTCTGTTAATCATACAACAAATGATATGCAATGCGTGTAAAATACAGAATTGATCAGACCACATTGCAAAGAAATATGCTAATGATCCCAGATGCACTCACCCAGAAGGAGTAGCTGGCTGATCAACAGGAACAATAGAATTATCCATGCCCATCAAATCGCCAAGTAAATCTGGCAGAGGTGCAACAGATGGAGGTGTGGCTGGTGCACCTGTTGCAGATGCAGGTGCTAATTGCCTGCCAGTAGGTGGTGATGCAGGACCATTAGCAGGATTTGCATCAGAAAACCCTGTTTCACTTCCCTCAACATAGTCTTCGTCTTCTGTTCTCTGAGCTGAAGAGAGTACACGAGTTACAAAAACATCTGGAGGCTTGTGGTAAACAGAGGATAGTGTAGCAATGTTAGCAAGAAGCTCATCAAGTAGAGAAGGCTCAAGTTGATTTGAATCATCAGTTATCACAGGCTTCTCAGCTAACACAACATCCTTAGCAGCCTGAAGAAAAGATATTAGATGCATCAAATGTACAGCTCCATACTAGTCCAACGAAATTAAGAAAAGGTGTAAAAAACATTATTTCAATTTGGTTAGAGATAGCACAGAATGATAGGACAAACGTAGCAGTCCGTCATAAATAATTAATGATTTAGGTGACTAAACTGAATATGCAACTAAATCATCATATATCACTGCAAACAAACAAGCTCGGATTAAAGTGCAAGAAATAAAACCTCAGGATCAGTAGAAAGGAGACGCCAATATATGTATGCACGATCTCGCAAATCAGGATTATCTGTCTCCACAGTGGCATTGTTCAAAACAACCTGTAGAGATACAGAATTAAGTGAAACTTAGCATGCAAGTCTGAAGATCATACTTGATTAAAAACTGTAGCGCTGCGAAAGATGAAACAATACAAGAGGGAGGATTTTTCAGTCTTAACAAGACAGCTAAAGATAGATTGACAGATCTATCTTCTAAAAGCAATAAATTTTGAAAATTTCAAAAATTAATCTCAAATCTGCATTCTTTAATAACACAAGGAATTCTATATGAATAAAACAAACATCTTAAGGTACGACCTGAATCATCTGTTGGGGGCCCTCAGTAGGCTTCTTCAAGAAAAGTTTGACAGTAGCAGTCAGCAACTGTAGTTGGACCTGTGCAGGTTCTTCCGGGAAACTTTCCAAGAAACTTTCAAGAAGTTCATCTGCGTTGTCAATTCTTTCCGCATATTCACCAATTATCCAGATCATTGATGCCTATCGGCTCAGGAAAAGGTTTGAATGGATAAGCACACATGGTAGTGCATAATGACAGTTACAAAGGACCTCGAAGAAATGTATGTACCTTTGCTTCTGGCTCATCCAAGGTGTCTAAGCTCTCGCAAAGTGTTGCAATTATGGACTCATATCTACAAAGCAGTACAATATTCGATGGATGTTTTAGAGAGAGATGTAATCCCTGAATGTGTTATCTCCTACTCAAAAACTAAATGCAGATAATAAATATATCATAACATTACGTGTTGGGATATCTTCTAAATATATCTTTGATAACAATGATTGCCTCTTGAACCACGTAATTTACTTTTATCTTGATCAACTCAAGCAAAACACTAATGCATCTTTCAGCAGCTCTCTCCAATTTGATAGCACAGCGACCAATTGCTCGAACAGCCTTTCTTACAAAATCCACATCAACTTCAGTAGCATACTCCTTAAATTCTAACAAAACCTGCAAACAGTGTGAAATAAAAAATAAAAAAACTAACAAACAGAACTTTGCATATTCAGCTAGATTGGCTCAACTAAATGGTAATGCAGCAATGCACCAGATGCACATATGTGAATCTCATAAATATGAAAGATCACAGGACAAATTGCTTTTTCAATAAAAGAGGATATTCTGTTCACATGAATAAACTACCAACATAACATATCATCTAAAATATAAAGCAAAAAATTGTTCGATGGCTCATAGTGTGAGTTTCATCCATATGAAACGGTTACAAAAATATAAAATGCTCACTACAATAGAAATTAACTCCAACCATGAAATAAATATGGGATGGAGAGGAAAATAGGAACTGACAATACACACAAGCAATACCTGGTCTATATTTCGGTCTGAAGCAAGTTTGATCATAATCTCTAACTTTTCCATTTTTACATAGATGGGATCATTGTACTTGCAGAAAAAAACCTGCACATAGAATATACACTCCATAAGCATCCCATCTTCCCAAAAGTAATAGAAAAGTTCTTCAATAACGCCCAAGGGTTTTGTAGCACCAACAAGTTCACAATACAATATTCAAATCAAACTACCTTAATTTCATGAGCAAGAATTGTCGGTCTTCTTTGTACTATAAGATTGATATTTCGCAGTGCTACATATTGTATCTCAGGTTCTGCAGAGAGTAATGTCACAAGAGGAGGGGCCATTTTTTTGCACAGATTCCGAACCACATCAGTACTGGTGATAAGCTCCATTTGCAGAAGGATCATCTAATGGTCAATATTAGTAGTTAGTAAACCAAGACAACATTATCAACAAAGTCATGAGGTAAAGTGAAAAGGTATATAAGGAAAATTCACCTTAACAGCAGACAGAACAACTGCACAATTGGCATGCTGTAAGCGAGGAGTAACTCTTTCCACTATATTCTCAGCTTCACGAGCATCAGCTGCCTTGTATCTAGAAAGAGCATCTAATATGAAAACTTGACCCCATCTGGCACGTTAAGAAAATGTAACGTCAAGTTAACCAATATGTGATCATAGATCAACGACAAAAGATCAAGATGACAAATAAAATAAGTACCACATGAACAATCATAAAGGAAGGGAGTTTTCTAAAACGGGATTCAGTATTGTTTCCAGTTTTATTTGTGTTAGCAAATATACAAGAAACTTACTCTGTACATTCATTTAAAGCTGTGAGGAGCTTTGACAGAGTGTGACTCGAGATCTCAAAAATAGGTCTACTATTGTTTTCCTGAATTTCAGCAAGTGCTGCAACAGCGTTAGCAACAACCATTGGATTATTATCAGATATCAAATCCTTCAGAGACTCCAAAAAACCCCTGTCCTCAACTAACTCTGCGTTTATATCATAAAGTTTGGCAACACAAATAGCTGCTGTCTTACGAACATATGGATCGTCATCCTGTCAAAATATATCATAAAAAATATGAGTTACAAAAAGGACCAAAAAAGAAAAGAAAAACAAACTTTGGCATTGTTGTGAACAAGAGGAATTTTAAAATTTAACAATATTATATGTGTGTGTGTGAGTGTGTGTAAGTTGGAACTGTGCTGTGTACCTACCTTCAGGCATCTTTGAAGGGGATCGCACAGATATTCAGTAATTTTATCAACACGAATGCAGCCCATTGTACGTACAGCTAAGGCGCGGATCAAAGGATTTGGATCTTGTGAATCCTGTCAGTATTTATAAATGACAGGAGAGAAAAATGAATCAGATTCAAGAGTACAAATATTACAATATAATAGTAAGGTATCCGTTCAGATACACATCTCCTGGGTAAACCAACACCATTGTATATGGATTTGGGAAGAATTTCAAAAAGTGGGATAATAAAAAATTGGTATAACAAGATGGTGGGGAGAGCAGGAACATATAGTCAAGAAACCCCAAAATGCCAAGAAATAAACAATGGTGAAGGATAACAAAATAAGTAATAAACAACAGAGCAAGAGGAAATAGCAGTTATTCCAGTTTGTTACCTTAACAAATGTATTCACAGCAAGTATTGCTAGGTCAGGCTGGCTCTTTGCATAATTTATCAGATATAAGTACACTAACTTTTTGAGCTCCAAATTTTCTGTTTGCATGCAATTCACTACGTCTGTGAACAATGANATGGTAGTGCATAATGACAGTTACAAAGGACCTCGAAGAAATGTATGTACCTTTGCTTCTGGCTCATCCAAGGTGTCTAAGCTCTCGCAAAGTGTTGCAATTATGGACTCATATCTACAAAGCAGTACAATATTCGATGGATGTTTTAGAGAGAGATGTAATCCCTGAATGTGTTATCTCCTACTCAAAAACTAAATGCAGATAATAAATATATCATAACATTACGTGTTGGGATATCTTCTAAATATATCTTTGATAACAATGATTGCCTCTTGAACCACGTAATTTACTTTTATCTTGATCAACTCAAGCAAAACACTAATGCATCTTTCAGCAGCTCTCTCCAATTTGATAGCACAGCGACCAATTGCTCGAACAGCCTTTCTTACAAAATCCACATCAACTTCAGTAGCATACTCCTTAAATTCTAACAAAACCTGCAAACAGTGTGAAATAAAAAATAAAAAAACTAACAAACAGAACTTTGCATATTCAGCTAGATTGGCTCAACTAAATGGTAATGCAGCAATGCACCAGATGCACATATGTGAATCTCATAAATATGAAAGATCACAGGACAAATTGCTTTTTCAATAAAAGAGGATATTCTGTTCACATGAATAAACTACCAACATAACATATCATCTAAAATATAAAGCAAAAAATTGTTCGATGGCTCATAGTGTGAGTTTCATCCATATGAAACGGTTACAAAAATATAAAATGCTCACTACAATAGAAATTAACTCCAACCATGAAATAAATATGGGATGGAGAGGAAAATAGGAACTGACAATACACACAAGCAATACCTGGTCTATATTTCGGTCTGAAGCAAGTTTGATCATAATCTCTAACTTTTCCATTTTTACATAGATGGGATCATTGTACTTGCAGAAAAAAACCTGCACATAGAATATACACTCCATAAGCATCCCATCTTCCCAAAAGTAATAGAAAAGTTCTTCAATAACGCCCAAGGGTTTTGTAGCACCAACAAGTTCACAATACAATATTCAAATCAAACTACCTTAATTTCATGAGCAAGAATTGTCGGTCTTCTTTGTACTATAAGATTGATATTTCGCAGTGCTACATATTGTATCTCAGGTTCTGCAGAGAGTAATGTCACAAGAGGAGGGGCCATTTTTTTGCACAGATTCCGAACCACATCAGTACTGGTGATAAGCTCCATTTGCAGAAGGATCATCTAATGGTCAATATTAGTAGTTAGTAAACCAAGACAACATTATCAACAAAGTCATGAGGTAAAGTGAAAAGGTATATAAGGAAAATTCACCTTAACAGCAGACAGAACAACTGCACAATTGGCATGCTGTAAGCGAGGAGTAACTCTTTCCACTATATTCTCAGCTTCACGAGCATCAGCTGCCTTGTATCTAGAAAGAGCATCTAATATGAAAACTTGACCCCATCTGGCACGTTAAGAAAATGTAACGTCAAGTTAACCAATATGTGATCATAGATCAACGACAAAAGATCAAGATGACAAATAAAATAAGTACCACATGAACAATCATAAAGGAAGGGAGTTTTCTAAAACGGGATTCAGTATTGTTTCCAGTTTTATTTGTGTTAGCAAATATACAAGAAACTTACTCTGTACATTCATTTAAAGCTGTGAGGAGCTTTGACAGAGTGTGACTCGAGATCTCAAAAATAGGTCTACTATTGTTTTCCTGAATTTCAGCAAGTGCTGCAACAGCGTTAGCAACAACCATTGGATTATTATCAGATATCAAATCCTTCAGAGACTCCAAAAAACCCCTGTCCTCAACTAACTCTGCGTTTATATCATAAAGTTTGGCAACACAAATAGCTGCTGTCTTACGAACATATGGATCGTCATCCTGTCAAAATATATCATAAAAAATATGAGTTACAAAAAGGACCAAAAAAGAAAAGAAAAACAAACTTTGGCATTGTTGTGAACAAGAGGAATTTTAAAATTTAACAATATTATATGTGTGTGTGTGAGTGTGTGTAAGTTGGAACTGTGCTGTGTACCTACCTTCAGGCATCTTTGAAGGGGATCGCACAGATATTCAGTAATTTTATCAACACGAATGCAGCCCATTGTACGTACAGCTAAGGCGCGGATCAAAGGATTTGGATCTTGTGAATCCTGTCAGTATTTATAAATGACAGGAGAGAAAAATGAATCAGATTCAAGAGTACAAATATTACAATATAATAGTAAGGTATCCGTTCAGATACACATCTCCTGGGTAAACCAACACCATTGTATATGGATTTGGGAAGAATTTCAAAAAGTGGGATAATAAAAAATTGGTATAACAAGATGGTGGGGAGAGCAGGAACATATAGTCAAGAAACCCCAAAATGCCAAGAAATAAACAATGGTGAAGGATAACAAAATAAGTAATAAACAACAGAGCAAGAGGAAATAGCAGTTATTCCAGTTTGTTACCTTAACAAATGTATTCACAGCAAGTATTGCTAGGTCAGGCTGGCTCTTTGCATAATTTATCAGATATAAGTACACTAACTTTTTGAGCTCCAAATTTTCTGTTTGCATGCAATTCACTACGTCTGTGAACAATGACGAGACATCCTTCCCAACAGTCATTGCTGCAATAACTTTTTTGACAGCATCTTTTCTTTTGTCCTGCAAAACATGGAAGAAAAACAAGTTTCACATTCCACATACTTCTTCACGTTCATTATATCTGGCACATCAATACAAGAGGTCTTAGCAAAGAGGTAAGACAAAGAGTCCAAGAAAACATGCGTGAGAATTTAAAATGCTGATAACTGATCACCATACACGATCAGTGCGTAAATTGAAGAAAATAAAAAATTACAGAAGAGAACGCGTGTAACAATATATCTAAAATGCCCCATAGGAGGTCAAATATTGAGCTGCATAAACAAAAGGGAAAAGTAAAATATGAAAAGAGAATGCAGCAAATATAACAATGATGCATTAAACAAGTGCACTTATTAAGTGCGTGTCTAGTAGTACTAACTCATCAGGGAAAAAACTTTTGGAGTCAACAAGCCATTCGGTGTAACTCCGACATCTGATTCAACATGAAAATGAGGATATTAGTGTGTTGTAAAGACTGTTCCAAACACACTAAACAAGATAGGATTTAGGAATTAATGCTGTAGAGAAAAGGTTGAGGTAGCACCAATCACATACAATTGGTACAACTTGGCCTTAGGTGGTTGGGCATGCGAGAAGAAGAGAAAATCAAATAAAGAATGGTCCTATGGCAAGAGATGGAGGAAGGCCGAGAAAAGTATAGGCAAAAGCAAAGCCACGGTGAAGGATTAAATGTTCAACAAGTTTTCGATAAACAAGATTCATGAAAGAACTTTGCGACATCCTTTAACCCATATAGCCAACAGCAAAATCCCACCTAGAAAAATAAGGCTTGGTTATTGTTGATATCATCACATGTGCTAACAAGCAAATTCCCCCCAAAAAAATGAAAAATAGTCTAATTTTTTTCAGATTTCTTCTCTACTTTAAAGATCCCTATATGTATACTGGAGTCCTAAACTTCAACTTCCAACGAATTGATGCTTCGTTACCATAGATCAGCGAGTGAATGTCCAAAAGAGAAATCAAGAGTGTATCAATATTTGTATAAATTGTCAAGTCATAATAGAGACGCGTGAAATTGCGCGGCGAAGATTGAAATAAGATCCAAAAACGACAAGGAAATAGAAGTAGAAACGGAAAGGGGAACGATGAAAAGGAAGGAACCTTGTACTGAGAATTGAGCTCTTCCTTGAGCTCAGGGATTTCACCCTTCTTGGTGGTGGAGAAGTACTTGGAATCGTTCCTACTCATCTTCCCTTCCCTATTGCGTGAGCGATACTATTCTTCTTCCGCTTCCAATTTCTGATTTCCGATTCTGAACCGAAAAAACAACACCGCTACGCTTGGCTTGACCGCGGAGGGAGAAAACACAGAACGGCGTCGTAGCAACTCGTTTCCCTGTAACGGGGGAAGACAAGTAACATACTCCTTCTAATGATCGTAAACTAACAACTGTTTTTCCTGTATTACGAGTATTCTTAATTTAATTAATTAAAAAAATTAAATATATTTTTAGTTTTTTATGCGATACAAAAATTTACATTTTGATGCAGTTTAATTTTAATTTTAAAAATAAATAAATATGGTTCTCTTGTTTAATTATATTTAATTCTTTGTATATATTAAACAACTTGTATTTGAACAATTTATATTATTTGAATTGTATTTAACACATAAAGAAAACTAATATTATTATTTGAAGAGGAATATATTTATTTATTTATTAAATTTATTGTCAAAATTTAATATATATAAAATTTTAATTTTACATCTAAGTTTAAAAGACTACAAAAATATTTAATTCATGAAAAAATTAAAATATATGTAAAAATACTTTTAAAAGTACAACACAAAAAATTTAAACTAAAAATAATAAGATAAAATATTGAAGCCCATAAAATTAGGTTTTTATTTTTTGTAATGTGAGAAATAGAATACAAATTTAAATTTTAGAAAAATGGGAATGGAAGAAACAATCAGGGATGTGCGCAAAGAAAATTCTAATAGGCTTGTCTATATTCTTACTTATGTTCAATATGTTTTGTTTCTTTTTGCACCTAGCATTCATACTAATAGCAAACCGACAAAAATATTGTCTTTGTTGCATCATGTCACCTCTATTTTTTGTCGTTACCTCCAATTGCACCTTCAATTTTCATTGTCGTCGCATTGTTTGAGAGGAGGAAGAAGAAAATATTGTTCTTAAGAGTATTATATACATTCTGAAAAACTCGTTCAAAAAATTGTTATAGAAAACCAATTTTGGAACTCATCTCATATGTTTCGGAAAGTTTATTCTAAAAAAAAGTTCATTTTATGATTTATCATATATGTTTGAGAAAGCTCATCCCACAAAACTTATGTTTTTGAAAGTTCATTTTAAAAATTCATTTCTTCTATTCTTGAAAACACGTTTTGCAAATCATGATCTGGACGTTTCAAAAAACTAGAAAAAAAAAAGGTAAAACGTAATCTATAAGTCAAAAGTTAAATGGTAATTTTAAAATTTATGTATAGTTATAGATTATGGAGGTGCAATAGAAAAAAAAAAGATATTGATTAATAACAATATGAGGTAGATGAATTTTCTAAATATCACATCATATGTTGACAAACTATGCTAATTATGTCGCAAGTGTTATGGCAAGGTCAAGTTAGTATAATAGTTGATTTATTTTTTTAATTTTGATGGTTAATGAGTTATTTGAACTTTATATCCAATTGTTTTGTCATGGTCAAGGGAAATCATAATTTCCAATGAGAACAAATTAAATAAGTTTGAAACATGTCATTTGGTTGTTTAAGATTTTGTGTTGAATTTTGGTTTGATGTCTTTATGTGATATTTATTTCGATTATGTCTGATATAAGGGTTTCATATTGACGTTCGTTGAGAGATGACATATTTCATGTTTTGATTGGTGAGATAATTGTCACACTGGATGATGTTGAAATGGAGTATTGTACTTTGAAGTGACTTACTGTGCTGTCATTGACTTATTTGGTGTTGATTACACGAGGGTTACATTTGAGCTAAGAAAATGTTGTGGTCCTCAAGTTAGGTTAAGAGAGGTATACAACAACTATTGTGAGAACCAATAGTCGGAGTACACTACACATGCCTACTTGTTGCATGCATTATTTTTACGAATAAGAGTGTCATTTTGATCCGTGTATCCTATTTTCTGCTCTCCGGTGACTTAAAGTCATGTAGCATATATGCTTGGGGAGTTATTGTACTAACCCGCTTATACGAGTAGCTTTGAGATGTCAACTTTGTTGAAACAAAATAGTTAGTTGGATACGTGATTCTTTTACAAACATATATCTTGCACTTTCATTTCCTTTGTTATTTTATTATATATTGACCAACCTTTAATTAATTTTTTATAGAGTTAGAGTTATGACCATGGGAATGAGTCATTTGTTACCTATTTACGATAAAGATAAACCTCGTGTCGCATGTTGAGTGACAAGGAGACAAATTTCCAACCTACTTGAGACCAGGACACATTTGGATGGCTTAACATAGGATAAGGTGATATGAGCCTCATATGAATCACAACAAATTAGTCGTCCACAGATGGTCATCAAAATGTTTTATGGTTGGATTAAAGTATGTGTGATTGTACATTGACATTTACCTAAATGTATGTTAAGGCAATTTAGATATGAGCAGTCAATCTCGTGGTCGTCAAACACTATATAAGAGGATGACATAACAACCATTGATGATTGTTGGTTGCGCTTTATTTAGCACATGTATATGAATGTCACATCGATGTCATCTTCATTTGCATGTGTGGAGGAATATCTCCAGTGGTTCAGAAGGATATATCATCCCTATGTTATTTCTGCCATTGAGGACAACCGACCCAAACTTGTACCTCGACTTCAATGACATATCACATATTTCGTAAGAGATCAAAGCCAGGATGATGTGTTGGTAATGTTTATGTGATTATGCTATTAAAAAATGTTAATTAATTTATTGGACTATGAATGCAAAGATCTATCAAACACATGATGAGAACATTACAGACGATGATTGATTATCATGATGTCAACGAGGACACTATAGTATGGGACTATGCTAACGAGACATTACAGATAGCTTGTGTACATGCATCCAACAATAAAGGAGGTCGAAATATACGCGACAAACATTCACCATCATTTGGGTAACAACGTCTTTTATTATTATTTGGTTTTTTTGAACTTTTTAACAACTTTGTGTATATACAATTAAACAACTTTGTATTTTCATTTATGCACGTGTTCATAATACACAAATATTAACCTTGAAACAAGTCAACATATAGGAATTAACACCTATAAACTCTACAAATGTTTACATCCTACTTACATGAAAAGATTACCATGCTTGGGGAAATGATAACCTTCGTGTAAATGAACTTGTAAATATAAAATTAATAAATAAAACTTATTTTATAGTGAAACAAAATAATAATAATGTTACATGCATTCAGTGATATCCATCAACGTATTAATTTATGTTGTATTAATTAAAAGGTGATGTAATACATAGTGGGAAAATCATAATATTTTGATTATATGAGAGACATACTAAAATTATATTATGTCAACAATGACATAGTTAATTTTTGATATAATTGTACACTTGTCTATATTAGTCTCTAATTAACGAAATAAATTGTTATAAAAACATAAATAAAGTGTGAACTAAAATAACAAGTATTACTAATTCCGAGTCAAATATTAAATTTCAAATTAAGTAAACATAATGAATGAAAACGTAACTACAAAGAAAGAATAAAAAAGTAAATTTTTTTATCATATTATTTGGAAATGTAAAAACATAAAAATAAGTCATAAGAAGATACAGAGAGAATTGTTAAAAAAAATAGCATTTATGCATCTTCAACCAAACTGCATGTTATGGATCACAAGCTCAAAAGTATTAGCTTTAAATCCTTAATCACAAATTATTACTATTATTCATTACAAATCCAAATTCTAAAAACCTAAAAGTTTAATATCCTATTTTGTCCACAGTTTCGCTCAAAAATGTTAAATTAGTCCATCTTTTAAAAAATACGTCAATTACGTCCTGATTTAATAAAATTTGTATCAATAAAATCACGTCCGTTAAATTCGTATAAATGAAATCACTTTTAATAGACGCTACACAAATTACATATATTAAATATTACCAACTTGGTTATATGTAATTTATAAATTATAAAACTAAAATTTTAAAATTATGCATTTTGGAAATTAAACAAAGAGAGATACACTATTTTATGGATAAAGAAATTCTCACGAGAGAGAATTCAAATAGAGTTGAGTAAATCAACTATAAAATATAAAATTCTCCATCTATGAATTATGATTGACATAGTGGGTTCAAACCTATATTTTACTACAAAATTTAGGATAAATTAGATGTCTCACTTTTATGAATATACAAAGAAAATTGCATTGTTTGTAAAATGAAAAATACTAAATATATTAATATCTAGATATGTGTTCTTTTTATAAAATTTGTGCTTAAATGGTTCAAATATAAAAAACAATGAAAGAACATGAAAACAATAAATATGATATAAAAAAAATGCGTTTATGTTTAATAACAGTTAAGCAAAAATAAGTATAGAAACATTTGAAGTTGTAAAAAAGGAAAGAGAAATAATAACTGTTTAGCTCTGGAAGTTTTATGGTCTTGCTAAACAATTTTGTAATTTTTCATTTTTTATAGTTTAATTTGATTTAGAATGGTTGCAATTATTGAATCACAACAGCATGCTATCATCTTGGGTCACTCCTCACTGCTGCCAATGGGAGGAGATTCGCTGCAGCAACCTCACATCCCATATTGTAAGCCTCGACCTTCGTGGAGATATATATGAAGAACGTTATATGAGCGGAGAGATCAACAAGTCGTTGATGCAATTCAAAGTTGTTTTTATAAATATAATAAAAAACCACTCTAATAAAATAGTATAATTTTTTCTCTTTACACATTTTTCTTCTTCTAATACATTAAATACATGTCTAAATTAAATAAATAAAGTTATTATAAGGGTAACATGAAAAAAAGTAATAAATATGTTAGAAAAGAGAAAGAACAATTTAAAATCAATGAATAATAAACAAAATCTTCTTTTTTATCTGATTTTAATAATATTCATTATCTTTTTTTTTATTAATTAAAATAATATATATTTTGTATATAATATATGATATTTTGTATCACTTTATTAAGATGTGCAGAGAAAAAAGTACTGACAAACAATTTTTCACAGAAAAGCAGAAGAGAGAGAAAAAGTTAACACCTTTTGTAAATATTTAACAGAAGGGACTTGATTGAGACAAATTTTAACAAATGAGAATACAATTGACACTTTTTTAAAAGAAGGAACTTAATTGACACAACTAGGGATGGCAACGGATCGGGTCGGGCACGGATAGTGCCTACCCGCAACCCGACCCGACAAAAAAAAATTCACCCGCTACCCGACCCGCTACCCGCACGGATATCCGCTTAAAAAATATCCGCGGATATTTTAAAACCCGCGGATATCCGTGGATACCCGTGGATATCCCATAAATATTTAAAAAAATATATTTTTATAAAATATTATAATAAAATTTAAATAAAATTACAAAAAATATATAAAATATAATATATATTAAATTAAATATAAATTAAAATTTAATTTTAATTATATTTAACTTTATAAAATATAAATTAATGTTAATTTTAATTAAATTTAACTTAATAAAATATAAATTAAATTTTTATTTTTATTTTTTGCGGGTAACGGATATCCGTGGATACGGATAGTATAATACCCGCACCCGACCCGTTTATAAGCGGGTATTAAAAAACCCGCTACCCGCAACCCGCGGATAGTAAATATCCGCGGGTACCAACTATCCGTCGCGGATTTTATCCGCGGATATCCGCGGGCGCGGATTTTTTTGCCATTCCTAGACACAACTCACCATAACTAGGGATAAAATAAGCTATTAAGCCAAACCTAAATATATTTCCATCTGGAAAAAAAGAAAAATCAACTGCCAACCTAACCAATAAGCAAGCAAATTATTTTCATAAATCAAAGGCAAAAATTGTTTGTAGCATTATAACTAAACTTAAATATACTTTTTAGACTCTTTTAAAATAAAATTAAAATTTGTTTAATTATATTATTTTAAAATCTTTTTAATTAGTTAACTAAATTATTATTTTGATTTATATTTTAAACTACATTTTAAATTAATATTTAAAATGTTTATATTGATGTTTTAATTTAAATATTAATATGTAACGTGTTTAATATTATTAATTAAAAGAATTATATTTATTATTTTTTAAATTTAATGATTAAATATATTAAAATTTAAGACAAAAGTAACTTTGAATTTTGTTAACAAATTTAAGAGTGATATATTTTTGTAAGATTATAATAGTATGTGAAGTGTGATAATTAAAAAAAAAATTGTTGATGTTTTTTGTCACTGTCACATGGGGGCACAAGTCATGGTCTAATCAGTTTTTGTTTTTTAGATGTAGGACATACTTAATTTCTAGCACGTGTAATATTAATTAAAAACTTAATAAGACTCCCGTATGGAGAAAACACATTGGGAAAAGGAAAAAAAAAAGCCAAATCTTAAAATATTTATTTATTTATTTAGTGAAAATGAATAAATTGCTATTGAAGTCAACAGGTTTCAATTTGATTGCCCCATGAACACAGTTCATAAATGTACGGTCACGATCATTCCTTTTACCAACCTCCTTCTTCAATTACTGCACCCATTCCATAAAAAACAAACTCAATCAAGTAATTTGAATTATAAAATATGAAATATAAAATATAAAATATTTTATCTCTTATATTAGAAAGATATAAAAACTCTTCAATTATAAATTTAATATTTCAGTTGTAAAATAAAATAACAAAATAAAACTAATATTTATTTGATGAAAAATGTGAATAATGAGTTGGTTGGCTGGTTTTGCTTCGTGCTTCTGCCAGCAAACACAGCTGGAATTAGCGGAATCCAGCTGGTACTGTACGGATCAAATATGCAGCTACCGTCGCCGTTTCTGTCTTTTCTTTATTTTTTTCATAATTTTTCTTTTATATTAAAAGAATGCACCTGCATCTAGTTATTACGTATTATGCAATTAATTATAAATAAAATGGTTGGTATATTTTTTTTTAGAGATTAGTTAGTTATCTATATGTGAAAAACTTAATTGTAAAAATTAAAAAATATATGATCTAAAAATTTTCTTAAAAGGTTAAGAAAATAAATAAAATGAGTTGGTTGAAGTGGTGAGACTGGTACAATGCCAAGGGGAGAGTAGGACCCACAGTCAAATTTTCAAATTACAGTCTTGCCCTTTTGAACGTTCAACCAGGATCATTTTCTTAATTTGTGTGTGTTGGATTTGGAGCCAGTAAAAATGTGCTGGTTGTGTGCAAGATTACCAAGATATCCTTTGTCTTTTCACTTTTGGGCTCGAATGTTTGTTTCACAAGTCTCTCTTAAACTAATATTTTATATAACTCTATTCTAAATATGGTATCTATCTCACCATAACTTTTATTACAACCTTTTGTTAGTTTTAATAAATAAATATATTTAATTTTAGTTTACTTAAATATAGGATTATAGTATAGATAAGCATAACCTACTATATTTTGAATAAAAATTATATAATTATCAATATATATGTAAATTAAAATAGATTTTTTAAGAATAATGTTACTTTTTTTCAAAACTTTAAATTTTTATATTAAATTTATATAAAAAGGCTTTTATCATCTGAATATTGTTAAAAGATTAAAAAATTTAAGGTTGTTAGTTAATAAAAATATGGAGTAGTTATTATCTTCAATTGTTCTATTTTCCTTATATGCCATATACAAATCTATTTTATTGTACACAATGGAATAGTTATTGGCATAAATGAGTATTTTATATATAACCATTTTATGTCTCAGACTATTTTACCAAGGTTGTCGTGGACAGCAAATTGAGTTCCCTATAAAACTATGAGAAATATCTTTATGTTCACTTTAGGATATATTTAAGAATTTCTAATCAAATTAATCTGAATAAAAATATATAAACACTGTAAAATAAAATATTGAATAAATTTAAATATAATTATATATTTAAACTACTAAGAATATTGTTATAATGAATAATGTCATGAGTGGTAAAAGCAAACACAGGAGATCTTTAACTGATCTGTCTAAAATTTGTCTGAATCATTTAAGTATTTATTTGGATAAAAATTTCAAACTAAAATTTGTGTTGGACGAGAATGTGATCATTCTTAAGAGGTTGGTAACTTAAAAAAGAGAAAGAATAACTAAATTTAAAAAATACAAATACAAAAGAGTTAGTATTGCTATGTAAAACTTTTCCAGTACCAATCAATTATGTAAATTAGTTTTTCAAAAAATAATAAATATATACAAAATATAAACTCTCTCTCTTTATTTAAACTGAATGCACATGTAAATAAAAAAAATCCATGGATCAGTTATACAAGTTTTGGTGAATAAAAAAGCCACGAAGTATTTTTGGCTTTTGCTTAAATTATTTAATTTATTCTATTTTTCATAATCATTGTTAAGAATATTAAAAAATAGTATTGCATGAGTTAAGGGTGTAATACATAATGACAAAAAGAATAAAATGGAAAATAAAGAGTATTTATTTGGATAGGGTGAAAAAAAAGAAAAAGAAGAAAAAAAGAGAAAAAGAAGAGCAAAGTCAAAGTTGTCATTAACCTCAAAATCTGTCATAAATGGTAAAAAGATCGCGAAGAGATACCGTGACAAATCCGAAATATAGGAAGGAGTTGGAGGGCAAATCTGTATTTACGCCGACCTTATAAAAGTTTCCATATCGGTTCTCCTTCCATTCCAGCACATCCTAATTCCAAACCACTGCATACCCAGCCGCCGTCTCTCTTTCACTCTCTCACTTTCTATCAAGGGCCTTTTCCGGCACCCTTCGCCGGAGAACAACCGCGTCTCCAATCGCCGGAGACTTGGAGGGCTTCGCCGGAGAGCAATCGTATCCGCGGACGGCGGTTAGTAAGAGTTTGGTTTCGTGCATGTTGAAACGGCGGCGTTTGGTGGTTGTGGTGAGCAATCGGGAGAGAGTGGGGTAGGATGTAGTTTGGTTGATCAGGGGAGATGGGGAGAGTGGTCGTGGGGGTGGCGGTGACGGTGGCTGTGGCGACGTGTGCGGTTGCGGCGGTGGTGGTGGGGCGGAGAGTGAAAAGCCGGAGGAAGTGGAAGAAAGTGGCGAATGTGGTGAGGGAACTTGAGGAAGGGTGCGACACTAGGGTTGGGAGGTTGAGGCAAGTGGTGGATGCCATGGCCGTGGAGATGCACGCCGGGTTGGCATCTGAAGGTGGCTCCAAGCTCAAAATGCTTCTCACATTCGTCGATAATCTCCCAAATGGGTAATAATCTCTTTCTTCTTTTCCTTCATTAGGTTCCGATTGCATTGCCCCTTTCCTGTCCTTAACTGTGCCATTAAGAGTCTTCTTTTCTTGGGAAGACAATGTGCATTTCCCCTTCTTGGTCATTTCTTTATTTTTTCAGCATTTTCTTATTTTTTGTCTTTTACGTCATTCCGTGTTTGTAGTTGTCGTCTAATTACATCAAGATACTGTTTATTTCTGCTTTTACTTTTAGGATTTGTGCATATGTTCTATCCATGTGCACTTATATCTGTTGCATTATATATTGTTTTCAAATATGCCGATGGCGTTCTTTTTATGTTCTTGGCGTTCTTTTTATGTTCTTGATTTGATATGATGGAACTTTTAAGTTTTTTAAATAACATTTCGAATGCTTTTTAGAATATTTTTAGTAGAAATCAATGATATGACAATCCGTGATTCATGACTGGTTAACAGTACTGTCATCGTATTTTAATTAAAGTCCTCTTTGAACTGGGGTTTCTGCTGAACTTTAACTTTTGCAACATCCAATGCATTGCCCGTTTGTAGCGTACGTTTTGAGAATTCCATGTTATGCACATGATTTGTGTCAACACTGAAGATTGAGTTACAGAATCTAAATGTAGGACTGTCATCGTATCTATATCTGTTTTGGGCGTTCCACACGATCGCACACGATGCCTGAGCATACTTTTTTTTTTTTTGGAATGAAGAGTGGTATTTGTTAAATTAATTTAATTCTATAATTTTGTCTTCGCATTGATACGTTCAGTTCAATATGAATGTGATGTATTTATATATTTATATATTTTTCTACTTCTATTATCAGGACTGAGAAAGGAACATATTATGCACTTCATCTCGGGGGTACAAATTTTAGGGTTTTGCGGGTTCAATTAAGTGGTCAACCAACTTCAGACTTGGAACATGAAGTAGAACGACAACCCATTCCCCAAAATGTCATGACCAGCACAAGCGAGGTGACTTGACCAAAACACTAAAATTTTGGACTTATGTGGTGTTTGCTTGGTCTTTTAACACAGTAGAGGTTGACTGATTTTGCTGCCTGCAGGACCTCTTTGATTTTATTGCATCTTCATTGAAGGATTTCATTGCCAAAGAAGGAGATGGTTCCACTATTTCACAGGGCAGAAGAGAACTTGGATTTACATTCTCCTTTCCTGTGAAGCAAATGTCTGTTTCCTCTGGCATTTTAATCAAATGGACGAAAGGGTTTTCCATTGTAGACATGGTTAGTCAAGTGACTTTAAAGAGGTTTTTTGGGGAATTGGAAAAACTTATACTCCTAGGGAATATTGTACTATATGGAAAATTCTTGTATCATGATTCCTCATAGAGCTGATCACTAACTTTAATGGTACCTTTTGTATGTTTGAGAGAAAAATCATGATTTTGAACAGGGTAATAATTTGTTTAGTTTTATACTTTATATAAAAAGTTATCTATAAGCCCAGTGCATTTAGTTAGTTGTGTCGTTAATATATTTCTTGTTCGGTTATCTTTTATATAGATCTCATTGCAGCCTTTTAACTTTATAGACCAAATTAGTTTTTTATTTTTTTAAATGGCTTTTTGTGCTTCCCCCTTTAAGAGTTACAAAATGGATGTAAAGAGCCTTCTCAATTGCAGAATTCTAATAATAGCAGTGTGTAAATATCATGACCGTGTTATATTAATAAGAACTGTGTGTTGTCAGGTAGGAAGAGATGTTGCAGCATGTTTGCAAGAAGCCTTTATAAGGAATGGCCTAGATGTTCGGGTAGCTGCCTTGGTAAGGAAGTACTTTCTTTTAACCCCCAGTTATATTTTTATCCTCCAACTTAGAATGTTGCCAAGAACAATGTCTGATAATTACATAACTTGGTATGATGTCTGTTTAATGAATTGCTACTTTTCCAAAGTCATTTTTGCAGTTAATTCTTCGTATTTTGGAATGAAGGATAAATGGTGGTAGTTTGACTGACATTTGTTTTCATTAAGAAACTGTGTTGCATTTTTTATCGCTGTGAAATTGTTTTCTTAATGCACTGTAATTATGTGGAGAACTGTGCTGCGTTGGTGTTGTGCATTATAAATAAGTAATGTTTTATTTATGATTATTATTATTATGGGAAACATGATTTCATGTTCATGTTCAACAGGTTAATGACACTGTTGGAACATTAGCAGTCGGGCATTATCACGATCCAGATACAGTTGCTGCAATTATAATTGGTACCGGTACAAATGCCTGTTATTTGGAACGAGTTGATGCTATTATCAAGTGCCAAGGTCTTCTTATGTCATCTGGGCGCATGGTATTGCTTTGTCTTGTTTTCACTTCTGTCTTTTGTTTCTCTTGAAATTTCAGCAAGTTTAACTCTTCTGGTTTTTAGGTTGTTAACATGGAATGGGGGAACTTTTGGTCATCTCACTTGCCAAGAACATCGTATGACATTGATTTGGATGCTGCTAGTCCTAATCCAAATGATCAGGTGAGGTTCTGCATCAGATGACTTCTGTTGTTTGATTTGTCATATGACTAAAATGTTGGATATTTGGATACAGGGTTTTGAGAAAATGATATCTGGAATGTATCTTGGTGATTTAGTGAGGAGAGTCATTCTCAGGATGACATTAGAGTCCGATATGTTTGGACCTATTTCTCCAAAGCTTTCAATGCCTTTCATACTGAGGTGAGTACTGAGTTCTCTCTGTCTGTTGAATGTATTATCCATTAATTTGTTTTAAAGTCTGGTTTATATTGTAATGGTTCAATTCCATTTTTTATTTTGATTGCCATTGATCGATTTCAATGTCTTAGAGATGGTTGATCATTTATTCTGGAAAGTGAATTTGCTGTATATTTATCAAGTGAACTTAGAATGATTTATTTGATCCTGACTTGATCCCCTGATGCAATCTTTTCGGGCCATTTCTAAAATGGTGTGCATATTGGCAAGCCTCACCCATTCTCCTTCATATATCTTGAACTAAAACTGTTACCTGATGGAAATTCAGGACTCCTTTGATGGCTGCCATGCATGAGGATAACACGCCTGACTTGAGAGAAGTAGCAAGAATCCTTAATGATATATTTGAGGTAAAGAAGCGGCGCACACCTTATGTTTTGGCCTTGCCTGCTGTAGTTTAATACTAATTTTGTTGTTGTATTTCTCAGATCCCTGATGTTCCTTTGAAGGCAAGAAAAATAGTGGTGAAGGTGTGTGATGTGGTGACTCGTAGAGCTGCTCGATTGGCAGCTGCTGGTATTGTTGGTATCTTGAAAAAGATTGGTAGGGACGGGAGTGGTGGCATCACAGGTGGACGGAGTAGAAGTGATATGAAAATGAAAAGAACAGTGGTGGCAATTGAAGGGGGATTGTATTCTAAATATACATTGTTTAGGGAGTACTTGCGTGATGCTCTAAATGAAATATTGGGGGAAGATATTGCCAAGCACGTTATTCTAAAGGTCACCGAAGATGGATCTGGCATTGGTGCCACACTGCTTGCTGCCTCCTATTCATCCTAAACTGTGGATAAAGGGGGTTACTTACACCGCCATAAATATATTTATATATATATAATTTGTTTAATATATATATATATATGTATGTATATATATATCTGCATATTTATATATATGTACATATATATATATATATATATATATATATAGGCACACACACACGTATAGCCATGTAAATCAGAATTTGTTCTCCATATTTTAAATATCTCTGTATAAAGGAAGGTTTCGTCTATTCTTTGACCAAGTTATCTTCATTTATATGATTATTATTTTTTTAACGGCTGACTAGGAAGGAGTGATATGTTGAGATTGAAGTTTGCTTATTATGTCTTGTTTTCTTGTTAAAAAGTAATTAAATCTGAATGCTTTTTCAGTTATCTACCTATTGACTAGCCTACAATGATCTTGTCGATGACAAGCCCAACAATTAACGTTGTTGTGATAATTTTATAATATTAAAATGGTTATTCGTACGTCCACTTGTTTCAAGTTTATTTAAATAAATAATTTAGGTTACAATCTTTCTGAATTTCTTCTTCCCTTCATTTGTATTTGGGGATTCTTTTTCATGTATGAAATAATAGTTTGCAACTAATACACAAATTTAAATTATTTTAAGCTTTAGTTTATTTATAATATGTTATATGAGTATGTAATAATTAAATCATTCAATTTTTATATTTTAAGATTTTAGTTTTATGTTTTTCATTTAAGAAATAATTATTATAATATTTTAAAAGAAAAACAATGAAAGAAAATGTCATTTTATTAAATTTAAGGGATATTAATTGCGAGTGACCTATTTAAAAAGTGGTAAAAATCTACTATGAAAAGAGAGTTATTAATGTCATTTAGTACAATTATAAAAGTAAATATAGACATGATAAATAGTTTATTTATTTATTTTGTAAGTACTATTTTTTTTATATTTAGTAATTTTAATTTTAAAAAGGGATTATGTTAAAAAACAGTCAAATAATTTTAAAAAATAGTGAAATATAAATTATTCATTTTGATAATTTTTTATAAGAATCATTTATAGTTTATTAATATTTTTTGTTTTAATAATTAAAAATGATTTTATAGTTCAATAAAAATTTTAGTGTAATAAAAATAAAAAGTGAGGAAAAATAGTAGACATATTTTCTGTTTTACACAATGTTCAATTTTACTCCTTAAATAACTTTTTCTTTTAATTAGAATTTGAATAAATATCTTACTTTTTTACACTTTATGTGTTAATTTAAATTTGACTTTTTTCTTTCCATTTATTTTCTAAGTAGCCGTCTTTTTAAACTAAAACAATTATATTATCAATTTTATTTTGATTATTAACTTATATTTATTAGTTTATAAATTAAAATAATTATTTTATTTAAATTCAACTATTTTTTAAATTAAATTAATTATCTAGAAAAGAAAACTCGTTTATTGTATAATAACATTTTGTTACCCTAATTCTTTGAGTTGTATGAGAAGACCTTATATTTTTTTTTAATAACTTGCATGTGTGAAATGTTTTTTGTAATTATTATGAAAGCAAGATAAAATTTCACAGTCAAATGTTCTTACTCAATAATATAAAATGAAATATATTTAATAATGAGATTTGTGAGACCCTAGAAGTTTATTTTACAAATTACCTGTCACATCACCATTAATTACGCACGCCACATCACTACGCCTGGTAATTAAAACGCACAAAACGCTGCATGCACGGGTGTCATGTGTCGTGTTGGAAACTTCTGAAATCAGAAGTGGGAGTGCAGGTGTCATCACGCGAGACGCTCGTTCGTCTAAGATTGGAAGGAACAAAAATGATTTTCGAAGAACCCTTCCACTCACCTGCACCTCTCATCTTCTTCCTCAGAACCCAAACCTTTCATCTTCTCCAACTTCTCTCTAGAAACCCTAAACTTCTCTCTACTGTAATCATCACGTTTCTTCTCCGATCAAACTTGCAGCACCGTAGGATNAATCTAAATGTAGGACTGTCATCGTATCTATATCTGTTTTGGGCGTTCCACACGATCGCACACGATGCCTGAGCATACTTTTTTTTTTTTTGGAATGAAGAGTGGTATTTGTTAAATTAATTTAATTCTATAATTTTGTCTTCGCATTGATACGTTCAGTTCAATATGAATGTGATGTATTTATATATTTATATATTTTTCTACTTCTATTATCAGGACTGAGAAAGGAACATATTATGCACTTCATCTCGGGGGTACAAATTTTAGGGTTTTGCGGGTTCAATTAAGTGGTCAACCAACTTCAGACTTGGAACATGAAGTAGAACGACAACCCATTCCCCAAAATGTCATGACCAGCACAAGCGAGGTGACTTGACCAAAACACTAAAATTTTGGACTTATGTGGTGTTTGCTTGGTCTTTTAACACAGTAGAGGTTGACTGATTTTGCTGCCTGCAGGACCTCTTTGATTTTATTGCATCTTCATTGAAGGATTTCATTGCCAAAGAAGGAGATGGTTCCACTATTTCACAGGGCAGAAGAGAACTTGGATTTACATTCTCCTTTCCTGTGAAGCAAATGTCTGTTTCCTCTGGCATTTTAATCAAATGGACGAAAGGGTTTTCCATTGTAGACATGGTTAGTCAAGTGACTTTAAAGAGGTTTTTTGGGGAATTGGAAAAACTTATACTCCTAGGGAATATTGTACTATATGGAAAATTCTTGTATCATGATTCCTCATAGAGCTGATCACTAACTTTAATGGTACCTTTTGTATGTTTGAGAGAAAAATCATGATTTTGAACAGGGTAATAATTTGTTTAGTTTTATACTTTATATAAAAAGTTATCTATAAGCCCAGTGCATTTAGTTAGTTGTGTCGTTAATATATTTCTTGTTCGGTTATCTTTTATATAGATCTCATTGCAGCCTTTTAACTTTATAGACCAAATTAGTTTTTTATTTTTTTAAATGGCTTTTTGTGCTTCCCCCTTTAAGAGTTACAAAATGGATGTAAAGAGCCTTCTCAATTGCAGAATTCTAATAATAGCAGTGTGTAAATATCATGACCGTGTTATATTAATAAGAACTGTGTGTTGTCAGGTAGGAAGAGATGTTGCAGCATGTTTGCAAGAAGCCTTTATAAGGAATGGCCTAGATGTTCGGGTAGCTGCCTTGGTAAGGAAGTACTTTCTTTTAACCCCCAGTTATATTTTTATCCTCCAACTTAGAATGTTGCCAAGAACAATGTCTGATAATTACATAACTTGGTATGATGTCTGTTTAATGAATTGCTACTTTTCCAAAGTCATTTTTGCAGTTAATTCTTCGTATTTTGGAATGAAGGATAAATGGTGGTAGTTTGACTGACATTTGTTTTCATTAAGAAACTGTGTTGCATTTTTTATCGCTGTGAAATTGTTTTCTTAATGCACTGTAATTATGTGGAGAACTGTGCTGCGTTGGTGTTGTGCATTATAAATAAGTAATGTTTTATTTATGATTATTATTATTATGGGAAACATGATTTCATGTTCATGTTCAACAGGTTAATGACACTGTTGGAACATTAGCAGTCGGGCATTATCACGATCCAGATACAGTTGCTGCAATTATAATTGGTACCGGTACAAATGCCTGTTATTTGGAACGAGTTGATGCTATTATCAAGTGCCAAGGTCTTCTTATGTCATCTGGGCGCATGGTATTGCTTTGTCTTGTTTTCACTTCTGTCTTTTGTTTCTCTTGAAATTTCAGCAAGTTTAACTCTTCTGGTTTTTAGGTTGTTAACATGGAATGGGGGAACTTTTGGTCATCTCACTTGCCAAGAACATCGTATGACATTGATTTGGATGCTGCTAGTCCTAATCCAAATGATCAGGTGAGGTTCTGCATCAGATGACTTCTGTTGTTTGATTTGTCATATGACTAAAATGTTGGATATTTGGATACAGGGTTTTGAGAAAATGATATCTGGAATGTATCTTGGTGATTTAGTGAGGAGAGTCATTCTCAGGATGACATTAGAGTCCGATATGTTTGGACCTATTTCTCCAAAGCTTTCAATGCCTTTCATACTGAGGTGAGTACTGAGTTCTCTCTGTCTGTTGAATGTATTATCCATTAATTTGTTTTAAAGTCTGGTTTATATTGTAATGGTTCAATTCCATTTTTTATTTTGATTGCCATTGATCGATTTCAATGTCTTAGAGATGGTTGATCATTTATTCTGGAAAGTGAATTTGCTGTATATTTATCAAGTGAACTTAGAATGATTTATTTGATCCTGACTTGATCCCCTGATGCAATCTTTTCGGGCCATTTCTAAAATGGTGTGCATATTGGCAAGCCTCACCCATTCTCCTTCATATATCTTGAACTAAAACTGTTACCTGATGGAAATTCAGGACTCCTTTGATGGCTGCCATGCATGAGGATAACACGCCTGACTTGAGAGAAGTAGCAAGAATCCTTAATGATATATTTGAGGTAAAGAAGCGGCGCACACCTTATGTTTTGGCCTTGCCTGCTGTAGTTTAATACTAATTTTGTTGTTGTATTTCTCAGATCCCTGATGTTCCTTTGAAGGCAAGAAAAATAGTGGTGAAGGTGTGTGATGTGGTGACTCGTAGAGCTGCTCGATTGGCAGCTGCTGGTATTGTTGGTATCTTGAAAAAGATTGGTAGGGACGGGAGTGGTGGCATCACAGGTGGACGGAGTAGAAGTGATATGAAAATGAAAAGAACAGTGGTGGCAATTGAAGGGGGATTGTATTCTAAATATACATTGTTTAGGGAGTACTTGCGTGATGCTCTAAATGAAATATTGGGGGAAGATATTGCCAAGCACGTTATTCTAAAGGTCACCGAAGATGGATCTGGCATTGGTGCCACACTGCTTGCTGCCTCCTATTCATCCTAAACTGTGGATAAAGGGGGTTACTTACACCGCCATAAATATATTTATATATATATAATTTGTTTAATATATATATATATATATATATGTATGTATATATATATCTGCATATTTATATATATGTACATATATATATATATATATATATATATATAGGCACACACACACGTATAGCCATGTAAATCAGAATTTGTTCTCCATATTTTAAATATCTCTGTATAAAGGAAGGTTTCGTCTATTCTTTGACCAAGTTATCTTCATTTATATGATTATTATTTTTTTAACGGCTGACTAGGAAGGAGTGATATGTTGAGATTGAAGTTTGCTTATTATGTCTTGTTTTCTTGTTAAAAAGTAATTAAATCTGAATGCTTTTTCAGTTATCTACCTATTGACTAGCCTACAATGATCTTGTCGATGACAAGCCCAACAATTAACGTTGTTGTGATAATTTTATAATATTAAAATGGTTATTCGTACGTCCACTTGTTTCAAGTTTATTTAAATAAATAATTTAGGTTACAATCTTTCTGAATTTCTTCTTCCCTTCATTTGTATTTGGGGATTCTTTTTCATGTATGAAATAATAGTTTGCAACTAATACACAAATTTAAATTATTTTAAGCTTTAGTTTATTTATAATATGTTATATGAGTATGTAATAATTAAATCATTCAATTTTTATATTTTAAGATTTTAGTTTTATGTTTTTCATTTAAGAAATAATTATTATAATATTTTAAAAGAAAAACAATGAAAGAAAATGTCATTTTATTAAATTTAAGGGATATTAATTGCGAGTGACCTATTTAAAAAGTGGTAAAAATCTACTATGAAAAGAGAGTTATTAATGTCATTTAGTACAATTATAAAAGTAAATATAGACATGATAAATAGTTTATTTATTTATTTTGTAAGTACTATTTTTTTTATATTTAGTAATTTTAATTTTAAAAAGGGATTATGTTAAAAAACAGTCAAATAATTTTAAAAAATAGTGAAATATAAATTATTCATTTTGATAATTTTTTATAAGAATCATTTATAGTTTATTAATATTTTTTGTTTTAATAATTAAAAATGATTTTATAGTTCAATAAAAATTTTAGTGTAATAAAAATAAAAAGTGAGGAAAAATAGTAGACATATTTTCTGTTTTACACAATGTTCAATTTTACTCCTTAAATAACTTTTTCTTTTAATTAGAATTTGAATAAATATCTTACTTTTTTACACTTTATGTGTTAATTTAAATTTGACTTTTTTCTTTCCATTTATTTTCTAAGTAGCCGTCTTTTTAAACTAAAACAATTATATTATCAATTTTATTTTGATTATTAACTTATATTTATTAGTTTATAAATTAAAATAATTATTTTATTTAAATTCAACTATTTTTTAAATTAAATTAATTATCTAGAAAAGAAAACTCGTTTATTGTATAATAACATTTTGTTACCCTAATTCTTTGAGTTGTATGAGAAGACCTTATATTTTTTTTTAATAACTTGCATGTGTGAAATGTTTTTTGTAATTATTATGAAAGCAAGATAAAATTTCACAGTCAAATGTTCTTACTCAATAATATAAAATGAAATATATTTAATAATGAGATTTGTGAGACCCTAGAAGTTTATTTTACAAATTACCTGTCACATCACCATTAATTACGCACGCCACATCACTACGCCTGGTAATTAAAACGCACAAAACGCTGCATGCACGGGTGTCATGTGTCGTGTTGGAAACTTCTGAAATCAGAAGTGGGAGTGCAGGTGTCATCACGCGAGACGCTCGTTCGTCTAAGATTGGAAGGAACAAAAATGATTTTCGAAGAACCCTTCCACTCACCTGCACCTCTCATCTTCTTCCTCAGAACCCAAACCTTTCATCTTCTCCAACTTCTCTCTAGAAACCCTAAACTTCTCTCTACTGTAATCATCACGTTTCTTCTCCGATCAAACTTGCAGCACCGTAGGATCGTTCGTTCAGCTGTGAGCTTCATTTTGGACCGAACCAATCTCAGTTCTGAAAACGGTAAGTCTCCCAACTTAGGTGTCGTTTCTGGATACTCCTGCGAACCCAGATTCTGTCGCATGCAAGGGTAGGAGTTGATGTTTTTCTACATTTCTTTGGATAGATTTAGTGGAAGAAACTTAAGTGGCTGTTGAGTATAGAAGAGCTGTAGTTGAACGTGTGAAAGTCATACTTTTAGGGCGTACACTGCTATCCAGGTAAGGGAAGTTTATAAATTTAATTTATACTGGTATGAATTATGAACGTATGAAATGAACTGTATGTATGAGAATTTTGATTGATTTAGCATGCGTGAATAAACGTTGTTGATCTGGATGAATAGAGTATATGTTGGCTGTGATGCATGAGTATATTTGATACGTATGAAAATGAATGATTAATGTGAATTGTACAAAGTCTGGAAATTTATGTTGATTTGAAATTATAAAGTATGAATTGCATGAGAAATATTGAGTTAAGATAGTTGGAAAAATCTGGAATCCTGTTAAGGTTGAGAAAATCTGAAACTTAAATTATTCCCTATAATAAATGACGTTCGTCACTGTACGGTCTTATACCGTTCGGTTTTTCTGGAAATAACTTAGAATGGAATTCTTTCATTTGGAAGGAACTTCGCTCGAGAACGAGCGTCCTCAAATTGAATGTCTGAGCGTTCGGTTCAGCTCAGCTGTGTATAAATGTTTTAAACTTTAAAATACGTAACGTTCGGTCTTATACCGAACGATCGTTCTATATAGCGCTCGGTCTCATACCGAAGCGTTCGTTCTATATAGCGCTCAGTCTCATACCGAAGCGTTCGTTCTATATAGCGCTCAGTCTCATACCGAAGCGTTCGTCTTAAATAGTGTTCGATCTTATAACGAGCGTCCGTCCTAAATCGCGCTAGGTCTTATACCTAGCGTTCGTCCTAATAAGCTCTCAGTTTTATACTTAGCGTTCTTCCTAATTATTGCTCGGTCTCATACCAAGCGCTCGTAATGATTGGATAAATGTCTGATAAAATAGCGTTCGTTCAGAGTATTAAATATTCGTTTTCTTTACGTTCGTTCAATTCCTGGCATTGGTTTTCCTATGTAAATCTCTTCAAAGATAATTCTAAGTGTTCTTGACCCTCCATTGTGTACTAAATTTGGTCCAAGTTTTTATCACAAATACTTTATAAATACCAGTACACTTCAAGTCGAGTCAGTTCATTTAACTGGCCAAATAGAAATTTTGTTCGTTATATATATTTCCTGAGTATCCAATAACTTCATTTGGACGTTCGTCCTAAGTCTCCAGTGGACTGAGCGTTCGTCCTTTTTGACTCCTAAATCTAAAGATGTAAAAGATGATGAAATATGATAAATTAAAGTGTGAACGCCATATGGAGCGAATTTATGATGATGGATTTTGGACGAGCGTTCCAGGGAGGAACGTCTCATATATGTTAAATACTAAATTGGTAAAGTATGACTGTGGTCATTGCTAATGCTGGCTTGGTCCATCCTGATATTCCGTGATACTCATCTTCACGTAGAAGGGGGTAGTCATGTGTGGGAATGGCGGGAGGTTCTAGTCCTTAGGGGTACTTTGGATAGAGCTAACCTCGAGTGGCAGCTGATTAGGTATATCCCGGCTACTACACCACTCGGGTGCAAGGACGCCTGTAGCTACACGGTTCATACAGTCCGGACGGTCGTCTTATATATATATATATATATATATATATATATATATATTTATAGATGTTACGTGATGTTATATGTTAAACTATGTGCTTGTGTGGAATGATATGTTCATTGTATATGTTGAATGTATGAATTAAATATTATAAGCTTACCCTTTCGTTTTTCCTCGTGTTGTCAATTGTCCATGTACGTTCGTCTTGTCTTGCAATGATCATCCGTGTGGATGTGAGCAGATGGTGATGCATCTCTTGAAGAAATGCTGGAAGAAGAAAATTTGGAAGATGCAAATCTGGTTGAAGTGGAAGTAAAGGCCGAGCCTTAGAGCGCTCGTTAGATTAGAAATGTGAATGTTAGATTAGTTTGGACGTTCGGTTAAATATTTTGTAAAGCCGTTCGTCCTAATTATTCCTGATTCTGTTTTGACGTGTACGTTATTTTTATAACTAAGAACGTTCGTTCTAGGCTTCCTTTGTATGCGTTTTATTCGCGTTTCTTTTGTACTGAAGCCGTTCGGTTCTGGAACTTCTTTTCAGTATATAAAGACTGCTTGGTTTTACTGTTAATTGTAATTAATTTTGTAATATAGTAATTACTGTATTCTGGGATTTTACAAGATCTCTTGTTCAAAATGATGTTAGTTCGAACTTGATAGGAATGGATCATCTTCAATAGTGATAATGATAATATAATGGAATAATAAAAAATAATATTAAGTAAAAAATATGTATCATGTGAAAAATATATTAATAATTGAAATATACACATTTATTTATCAGTACTATTTCTCAATATTTCTAGAATAATCACAGTAGCGAATCTATTATTATTTTTGGAAGTCTGTATGTTCAAAACAAAAATTACTTTTAAAACTTTTAATATAGATAAATATATCAAATATATTTTTAATATCCTTCTGAACCAAAAATAAAAAGGAAAAAATAACAGTTATCGTAAATTAAAGTGACGCAAAACCGCTACTCAGCTTTAGGAAGTTGTATTTTGGTGTGCAATGGCGCCCAAAGGTAAATCCGATGCAGCCGCCGCCGCCGACAATGGCAGAAAAAGAAGACGCTATCTTCCTCATAACGTATGTGTTATCGTCTCTTCTCTTATGTAGTTTTTGCATTTTGAAGTTTGTTTTATTTTGTGGCTGAGTTTTGTTTTCGTGATTTTTTCCAGAAAGCAGTGAAGAAGGGTTCGTATCCTCTGCGGCCTGGCGTGCAAGGCTTTTTCATCACTTGCGACGGCGGAAGGGAACACCAAGCCTCTCGAGAAGCTCTCAATATTCTTGATTCCGTATGATATACATTTATATTTTCATCTTTCCTTTTCCTTTTTCGTCATCAGCGTTCCAATTTTGCAATTGAAACTGTCTAAATATCTTTAAGAATTTAAACACGATATTTATGGGTAGTGTTTTTTGAACATAAGAATTTGGTTTTTCTATTTGTTCAAATGCAAATTTCCATTAGACGAGGGTTTTATTTCTGTTGTTAGTTTATTTTATCATTTGTAGAACCTAGACACTGTATGGTTGTT